TTGGATTTTACTAGTACAGCAAAAGTAACGTGAAATTTGTTTTTCCACTTAAAGTGAAATTCACCATTTTGAACCAAAAATCTAGGGGGGAGAAAGAGAGATGAACATAAAATGTTGAAAAGAACCTGTTTGTTTGGAGGTTTATCTGAAACAAGAAACTCAGAAAAAAAAATACCAGCCTAAACAGAATTCTCTATAAAGTGGTTAAATTTTCTTGGTGGCTATTGGAAAAACAAAATAACCACGAGACAAAACCCAGGTGGGACCAGATGAATAAAAAAAAAAAATTTTTTGTGGACAATATGATGGATTGCTGTTTGTCGATCATAAATTTTTTCCTATCTATGCAATGGGCAGATAATTCATGAAAATACAAAATAAAAATGCTAAGGATCAATATTGCGTGGGTGGAGAAAAATTGGATATTGAAAAAAAAATTATAATTTGACGAGATAATGTCAATTGGCAAAGGCAATCTATTTGATGACAAAGCCAATATGAACCCCCATTATGAGTGATGGTAAGAAGTTTTACAACATAAGTAACTGAAGGTAATTTTTAACCAGCCAAATTTGAAGAAGTTTAATAAATTATAACTTAGTGTTTTGATAACAAATCAAATTAACCCCAAACAGACCATACTAGGATACCTCAATAAAAGCAAATAGATTTTGGCTCTTCAATCAGTTGCCAGGAAGACACTGCAAGTTGTGACCACCACTCTTTCTGTGTGGGAGGGGGGGGCTTTAGCAGAGGGTGCAGCAGCCCAAGGCATCCATATCAGGAGGACATTCAATCAAACAGTGAAATAAAAATTTAGTTTATATTTAACTTGAATAAAGTATTTATTTTGTGTTTCATATGTTTTCACACATGTTAAAATGTCATCAGTTCTCAAATTTCTCAGTACTAGACTCCATACCCCCTCCACACACACACACACACACACCCACTTGAGTCTTGGGGCATACAATCAAGGAGTTGACCCAGGGCATCATCAAATATCACCAAACCTCTGCATGTCACTGGTTGGAAAACAGTTTTTAGAGATTAAATTTCTGAATGAATAGCTGAATCAATTGCCAGTCTAGTTTTGGGGTTTTTTTTTTTTTTAATTTTTTTTACAAATATGTCAGAAATAATGGCAATATGTCCTAATTCACTAACCAGCTCTAGTTAGGTTGATCACAACACTGAAAGACCAGGAAGGGTTAAATTAATAATTGCAACACTTAACTTTTAAACTCTTCCGCTATTGAGCCTACAAGCCAGAATTGGGTGTCTGTTCTGAAAGTTTATTTCTCTTGTAACTTGCTCCTTTCATTGCTGAGTATCTTTCAATTAACTTTGCCTAAAACTTCCTCAGATCAAAAACTTAAAACATGGGTGAGTAAGATTGACAGGCAAAATGATACCCCTAGTAACAGACTTTGATGGGTGGGTATGGTTATACTTGAATTCTTTATTTCCAATCTATGTTACTTAGTGGTATATATAGAATGTCATAGTTGCAATAAATACAATTAGAAAAAACAACAATAATTGACAGTGCTTCAAAGTAATATTAATCAAATCATTAATAATGAATGACAATGCTTCGTCTAAGAAAATTTGAAAGAAAAGACACTTGTACATTTGAGCTACAGAATCAACTTTTATAGATAGTTGGTCATGAGCAGAGTCTCTGTTCTTTCATGAAAATAGAATAGACCACTTTTTGAAACAAATATTAAATGATAATGTGTTTTATAAACTATGCAGACTACTATTTTCATCTATACATTTGTCAATAAATGTTACCTGCTAACTTCTCCAGTTTTCTTATGGAATAACAATAATATAGTAATGAAAATTCTTCATTTTGGACCATTAGACAATATCGAGGAAGGCTGGAGAATGCAACAGCCAAAATATTTTATTAAAAAAAAAAAAAAAAAAAAAAACGTAAGTCTGTATTATTTTGAATTATATATTGAAATAATGTGTTCAGACATCCCTACCAAGCAAAAAGCACAGTTTTTTGCATGGTTATCTGTAACATCTCAATTAATAACATATGCCATGTGATGTTGATTATTTATGGTAAGAGCATAACATGACATTTCTAGTCAAATGAGATATTGAGTTTGCTTTGAAATATATAAAATATTATTTTTTCATTTACAAATGGAGAGAATTAGGTTCAGTTTAAAGGTCATTGGACATTGAATTAATTCATTTTGATATTTATTAAATTTATGAATTTAAAAACAGTACTAGATTGGCAGTAAGGTCTCATCATTTTACAGGTGAAATGGCTAGACATAACCAAATGTTTTATGCCTAGAGTTTTTCTCTCACTTCTCACTTGTGGAAATCTCTTCCAGTTTCTTGCATCCCAGTCAACTTTGATCTTCAAAAATTTAAATACAATGTCACTCGTTATCTTGCCTTCTTATTTCATGTTCTTTTATTCTTCTCTCCCCTTAAGGTTTTTTTTTCTTTTTCTCCTATTCTCTCATACTCAGTAATCCTTGCATCTTAGTGGTTTTATTGCCTTGGTTGGGGTGAAATGATTAAAAAAAGGAGTTGAATTAGATTATGGCTTTTATGCACTGTCTGGCAACAAAGCAATTACATTCTTGGAAGTAAATTGGTAGGTGAAAGTTTTGTTGGGCAGAAAATAATGATGAGTAGTATTAATCTTTGAATTTACCAAAAGTCAGTTTGGGATTAAATGGAATCAATTAAAGGACTAATTAATGGATAAAAATTTGATTTCTGTTTTATTTCTAAAATAATGTGTAACATTATTTTCAGACAAAAAATTCTAAAATGTTTTGAAGGAAACTTGATTTTTTTCTACTGTTTCAAATGTAAAAAATAGCCTCAAACTAAAAACTATCACTAGCTCTACAAGCAAGGTATAATCCAAAAAATAAACTTAAGTTATTGCAACAGATTCCTAGGGAGGATCAGTTGCACACATCAATTGACAGTTCCAAAACCAAATGAGTTTCTCAACATTTCAGTTGAAAGGTGTTCCTTTCCAGAGGTTTTGACTAAAAGTCAAGATGCCCATCATATTTCTCAGAAATCTTAGAAGTTGTACAATAAAATCTCACCTATCTGTCAAGCAGCTTCTACCATATGCCTCATCAAAGGAATTATCCTCCTCAATAAGGTAGGCAAAAAAAAGAGATGTCCCCTTCCCAGGATCCCCACAATTCTGACAAACTTGCTCTCTGACTTAAAAATGCCTTCAATTCCCAATGATGCTCTCAACTTTGTTATGATCATTAACAAGGCACAAAGACAACCCCAAGATCACTACTTTCAATCTTACTTCTCCAAGCTTTTCTCATGGGCCCAGCTGAGTTGACAGTTTCAGAGATGAATCCCCAAATAACCTTTTCATATAGCACCAAGTGGGAGAAGCACTAAGATCCTGTATCCAGAAGCCCTGTCAACCTTAAGAAAGTTCATCTACTTTAAGCAACAAAATATTTATTCAAGAACAGATACTTTGTCACATTTAAATGATGTAGATAATAATTTATGTTGCATCAGAAATATATTATTAAAAAACATTTTTCTCTCGTCATTGAATTTGAAGTTATTTTTATCCCCAGGCAACATTGGATATCCATGCTAGTCCAATGAGAATATTTCATCACAGAACTTTAGACTGTACCCAGGAAGGTTGGAGAATAAACCAAGCAAAATGCTCTGTTCAAAATCAGTTTGCATAATCCATAGAATAATGACAATACCTTATCTCAGAACCTGTTAAGTAGGTACATATTGGGCACAGAGTTATCTTCTTTGCTTTTTGACAATCTTAGGCGTAAATAGTGCTAGAAATTTGTAGATTTGCTAGCTAAAAAATTAAAATTTTTCTAACTTCATTTTCACTTAAACCTTGTGAAAGATATGAATCCATCTCTACCTCCCATGGATTAAATAGTAAGGCTTGCATTTGGAAAAATTGTTATTCTAAAATTGTTAATGCAATATTGAATAACAAAAAATGAATTATTCTTACAATCCCAAATATGTTTTGGCTTTAAATAGCCTACAAAGGGTTGATAAGCTGTAAAAAACAAAATCAAACTTCATTTATAACTAGCAACATATAAATAACAAATAATATTACTTGACATTTTTTTTTTTTTACAATAACATTCACTTTGTAATAGGCCCAAATGTCACTCAAGGTAGAGGGTTACAGAGTAAGAGGTAAGAGGTACAGTTTATAGGGATATGTGGAGAAGATAACAGTTAACCCTTAAGATTATAGTGATGGGGAAACATCTTCTTGGGAGTCATTTCAACAAAGTAGCAGTTCATGGGAAGAAGCTGTTCAAGCAAAACTTTCATCTCAGCAATGGAATAGGAAGATAATTAGGTTAGAATTGGTGAAACTAAGGAAAGTAGTTTGTCTGAACACTTTCCATGGAAATAGCAATAGAGTAGCGAGAGGCTGGCCATGTTTTCTCTGTGGGAAAGGGGCTGCAGGGTGGAAAATAATTCATCACCCACAAGGATTGTTAAAGAAACAGTTTTTTCATCTTGGTTTAAATTCAATCTTCCATCTTTGAGACAAATATTTGGTAAAGAATATAAACGGATATAAAGATCGTTTTAAGTTAATATAAAAGTTCAATGTCAACCAATGTTAAATAAATTAATTATTGGTAGAAATTAAATACACAGTTAAATATAACTTAATACTCCATAACTACTAATTTTAAATATTGGCAAGATAGAAAATGATTGAAAGTAAAATGCTGAATAGGCAAACACAATTTGTCTGTAGAGTGATTAGATGCATTTCTTTTCTCTGTGTACATTGGACAGCTTTGAATATTTCTTTTCCACACACTAAAAATAAAAACATCAATACTCAGATATTTATTGAATTTTTCAATAACCCAATCATAAAGTCTGACATGACACCTTCACGTGGGTAATCACAATTTCAATTTTAGCTGAACATCTATTTAAAGCATGCTACTTACTGAGTGGTACTGTTTCAGAATATGATGCATTTGTTCAACTTCTTCACTGACCAACGTCTTAATGAAATACTTTTTATCTTGCGATAACAGCATACGGGCACCACTACGACCAGACGAATCAATCTCCACTGGTTGTTTTGTTAAGGAATTCTGAAAAGAAAAAGACAAAATATACACTTAGAAGTTTGTATTTTTAATACATATTAGAGGGGGGGGTATTATGAAGAAACATTAGTTTAAATCTGTACAACAAAGAGTTTTGTTTTATTTTTAATGGCTGTCAAATATATAAATATTAAATGAATACCAGTGCTTTCCCAACACCAGTGCTCTGTCCTTAACAAAAAGTCATTTATTACTGAATCTTCTTTTCTTATATTATCAAAATTCTTATTTTATTGATAAATAATATACAATGAATATCTAATAAATTAGACTATATCTTTATTACAAATCGATAAGCATAAGAAATGTATCCTGATTCTACAATGGTGTGATTAAACAATAATAATAAAATGAAAATTTCTAGACTCAATTTTCATCATTCTTTCAAACGATAATAATCAATGAATTCGAATATAATTTTAGCCAGATGCAGAGAGCATAAAATTTATACTTAAAAAAAGGAGGGGTGAGGGATATCATTTAAAATATATTTTATAAATCATTTGATTAATATTAACCCTTGAAAGCTTCACAAGCTTACAGTCTCACACCATAATGCACCTGCAATCAGGTAGCACTTATTCTAACAGAGTTAACATCCATCACAGGATCAAATAGAGGTGCCAGAAATCTACAATGTTTTGGAAATTTCCAATGTTTTATCTTGCAATCATTAATCCCCAAGGAGGCTAAATTTGGAATCATTTGAAAGAGAAATCAATTTACTTTCATATAAAATAAACTTGTAATACCTGATCATCAATGGTTTCAAAATATATCAATTGCACTAATGGCACATTTAGATTCAGTCAGGTGTCTAAGGATTTAACAATTGAAATCAGTTAAGGGCTAATAGGGTTAAAAGAGAAAAAACTAAAAGGATAAAACTGAAATAATTATTTACACTACTTACATTCGGACCATTGTCTTCATCTTTGTTGTTGTTATCACAATGTTTCAACCAGTGTACTCTACGGCCTTCATCAGGTGTATATCGATCTAGGTAACCTACAGGAAATACTGAACTGAACCCTTTCTAATTTTACTGCCCATGTTTAGGGATATCACGTCTAGTTCCTATTTTTAGTACTGCTCAGTTATTGTTTGCCCATTTCCACTGAGTTCAAGTACATACTGCTCAGGCCAGGGATTGAACTCACAATCACTATGTCATCAAATTCCTAATGTAAATAGTGTAAATAATGATAACTTCATCCCAGAAATTCAGACAGAAAGGACTGAAATTAATATAAATAAAGCCAATGGAAATATCAACAGCTATATAGGTGAAAAAATGTTTATCATGTTTTCTTTTTGGTAATATATTGTATGTTCTTATGAAATACAGCTTTATGAAACGGAACAAAGGAACAAAGGCCAGGATCGTGTATAATAAGCATTATAAAACTAGATGTGGGGAGAGACATGAGAGATGAGGCTAGACAAGGAGAGGGACACGAGGGATGAGGCTAGACATGGAGATGGACACGAGGGATGAGGCTAGACGAGGAGATGGACACGAGGGACGAGGCTAGACGAGGAGAGGGACACGAGGGATGAGGCTAGACGAGGAGAGGGACACGAGGGATGAGGCTAGACGAGGAGAGGGACACGAGGGATGAGGCTAGATGCGGATAGGAACACGAGGGATGAGGCTAGATGTGGATAGGAACACGAGGGATGAGGCTAGATGTGGATAGGAACACGAGGGATGAGGCTAGATGAGGAGAGGGACACGAGATTTGAGGCTAGATGAGGGGTGAGGCAGAAAATGCCAAATGTCTCAATAAGGCAATGGGGAAGTTAGAAATTAACTTTTTCCCACTGTTCATCCTATCGATTCATTGACATGCTCAATTGAATTATGAAGCAAGATTTTATATAAGAAAGGCTAAAATATTTGTATAGTGATTGATGACAAATTTCTATATATTTATAAGGCAAAGGTATTGATCATTACACATGTATGGAAGAAAAATTTTAAGTGACAAATTTAGCGAGAAAAAAAATGTAATTTAATTTTGAAATGAAAGTGACAAAATTAACTCTGAAATGACATTTACATCTTCTGTTTAATTAGGTGATTTGCTGCTGTATTGCACCATCATCTCTGCTTGACTTCTTTTAACTTTAATTTATACAGTGAGCAAATCTCATTGATTTTTAAATCTTTCAGAGTACACATATTGCTGTCAATTTTATGCTATAAATGTCTAGAAACAATTTCAATTTTATATCTTCTACATTTGTCTTTTCCAGACAGTTTCACTAATAAAGTAATAGCATTTATTTTCAGAAAAGTTTTATAAAGAAAAAATTAAAATGCTATATATATATATATATATATATATATATATATTTTTATTTAAAATCACCCCAAGCAAGGCAGTAAGGCCACTAAGATACAAAGGGGTTACTGAGTGTGGGAGAATTAGAAAACAGAAACTTTACTAAGGAGTGAGAACAAAAGAAGAGTAATCAGGGGACAGTAGATAGCAATTGACATTGCATTTAAATTTTTGAAAATTAAAGATGACTGGAAAGCATGGAGTAAGGAGGGAGTTCCACAAGTGAGAAGCACAAGAAAAGAAACTATTAGCATACAACTTATTGTTACTTCTAGCCAACTCAACTGTATATTGATGAGATTTTGACGCCAGTCTAGTACTGCACTTAAATTCAAAAAATCTATGTACCATAGCAAAGAGATCATCTAAACAATTACTATGAAAGTATTTATAAAAAAGAAGTTATGTCATGGCAGTGGGAAAGTGATTGAATTGCTGATTCTTCTTTGGATTTATCAAGAATCTCTAGATATATAGCAGGAGCATCAGACCATATGTGGCAGCAGTATTCCTAGTATGGATGAATGGTAGACTCATAGATATGTAAGATAGATTCTGAAAAGAAAAATTGTCTTGTACGACACAGTGAACCAACTATTTTAGCAGCTGACCTAGCAATGGATTCAACATAATATTTCCACTTCATGTCAGCTGAGGACATTAAGCAAAGAAGGCAAACAAGTCACTTTCCTGGAGGTTAGCATCAGCCATTCTGATGGAAAGCAGAGAGAGGTCTCTCTAGATGATTAATGGAGAGCAGTTTAGTTTTGGAGGTGTTAAAATTAGCAAGTCATCCTTTGTCCCAAGTTAACAACAGACTGAAGGTCATTTAACAATATTTGTTAAAACGCACGCACATGCAATTTCCTAGCTTGGGTATCAGTGGGAAGCAGTTTCAATTTGATTGATGGATTCATTTTCTACAGCTTATCAACCCTTTGCAGGTTAATTAAAGGCAGAAAATATTTTTTGATTGGAAGAATTTTTTTTTTTTTTAGATAATAATAGCTTACTGATATACATCTTACTAATTAACCCATTGCTGGGAGGAGAAGAGGTGGATTCATACCTTTCACAAAGGTATTTGCACATAAGTGAATATAACAGATAAAATATTTTATACATAGTTTGTAACTATCACTATAGAGCTAGTCTTGCAAGACCAATTATTATTTCTGTATGAAGTTTGATCCTAACTGGGGATTCCTACATATTTGACCTTATGTCAGATTGGATTAAACTTTAATTTTTTTTTAATCATTTCACCCGAAGCAAGGTGTAAAAGCTACTAAGGCACAAGGGGTTAGTGAGAATAAAAGGATGTGAGAAAAAAAATCATTATTACAGAGAGGAGACAATAAAAGAACAGAATACAAGGAAACAGAAAATGACAACATTGCATTTAATTTTTGGAAGATCAAAGTTGACTGGAAAGCAAGAAACCAAAAGAAAGTTCCACAAGTGAGAAGCACAAAAGAAGCAACTGTTAGCATAAAATTTATGGTTACATCTAACAATTTAAACTACAAAATGGTGGGACCTATCTACCAAACTTGATAATGACAGTTTGATTTCACTCTGCACAGATATCCTTGGCAAAGACATGAATCCATTTTTTCCCCAGCTATGGATTAAATCACAAAGTAGACTAAGCTCTCTAGACTTTGGTTGCAGCCAGTCTAGAAGGACTACTCTGAATTTAAAACAGTAAACCACTCTACTAGTTTTCCTAAGAAATGGCAATTCACATGTATTAAAGGAAAGGGATCTGTAGAGAGCTATGATCACATACATCTTGAAAGGAGATGGTATTTACAAAAAGGAGACAATACAAACAATCAAGGATACATTTAGTTAAGAAATAAAGTAAAGAAAAACTAAAGATTTTACAAGTAATCTTACTTTGTAAAGTCTGCTAGTAAAGGCAAATGAGATTTTTTTTATTCTTTTATGCATTTTCCTCTTAAAGGTCAATTTTTATGAAGCAAACAAAAAAGAGAGAGGAGGTCTTCTTAAAAAAAAAAAAAAAAAAAGAGGGAGTAGATTCTTCAGTTAACCCATTAATGCCTACCATGAAATCTGGTATTAATTATAGATTTCTACCATTTTGTTGACAGTGGAGTTTAATGGATTCAAATGGATTAGTTAAGGAAACTAATGTTTCTAAAAGGGCTGATCATCACCAAAGAAAGATTTTTTTTTTAAATTTTATTTACGTTTTTCTTTTTCACAGATTTTTCTGAGATATAAGTCTTTTTTTTAAATATCATAAGAGTATCAAGTTGAAAGAATTGGTTTTGCAGCACAGAATTTTGATTAAATCAATAGACAAAGCAAAAAAGTATTTTCATTTACATTTAAAAATTACAAAACTATCAGCCATATTAATTGAGGTGAATAAAAAGATACAACCATAATTGGCTACAAACAGTTTACTAGTATAAGATAGAGGTTGATTTTCTGCAAAATGATAAACAGCTAATTAAAAATGTTAGTCAGCATATATGAGGAATGAGCAGTTTTTAATTTTTAATGCTAATTGTGTGCATGTGAGTGGTATTGCTCCAAAAGTAATCCCTTCTATTTTATTATGTTTGTAGTAGAAGTTGAACCATTCTACCAATAACTCATAATTCC